TTTTATGTGTATGAGTGTTTTGCCTGCATGTATGTGAGTGTACCCATGTCATGCAATGCTGCAGAGGTCAGAAGAGGGCTTTGGATTCCCCTGGAACTGGAGTTAAGGATGGTTCGTAGCCACCATGTGGGTGCTGGGAATTGAACCTGGGTCCTCTGCAAGAGCAGTCAGTGCTCTTAACTGCTGAGCCATCTCTCCAGCCCCTAGTTACATGTTCTTAATGGAAACAATGACTCTTCTCTCTTCCACGGTGATGGCAGTTGGCACCATGTGTCAGGGCAGGCATAGATGTTCATTTGCCTATGTAGCACTGGTGGACCCTGGGACCATAACTCATCACGTAACCTATGATCTAGAATAGGCTGAGTAACCCTGATCTGAAATACCTAGGACCAGAAGTGGTTCCGATTTTGGAGTATTTGGTGTGAGAACTGAGTCTGAACCTAGAATTCACTTATGTTTCACAGCTACTTGTCATACAAAGTCACATATGGAACTCTCCACTTGTGTAGGTTGATTTTGGTCAGTGTTTTATCACAGTAACAGGAATCAAACTAGAACCAACTAACATGAATTTAAAATCTGCTGTTACCTGAAACAGCCTACATAGAAATGAAGATGATTTACTTGGAAAACTGTTGACAGTCAAAAACTTTCAGATTTTGAAGTGTTTCAGATTAGAATTAAATTTGGGACATTCAACCTGTAGTATTATCTCATAGTACAATCCCTGAAAGGATTTAAAAACGATGTTCAAATGTCTTACAAATACCTAGTTCACAGCACCTATGTAGAAGGTACCCTCGGAAGGTAGAGGAATGTTATTGTTTCTGTCTTGTTTGCAGTGTCCATTTGAGACCACAGATATTACTGTAATTGTGACACACAATAGCACCTGAGTACTTCAAAGTTCGTTTTCCTCCACTAGCCTTATACTGTATTTTAGTTGAAAGGTGAACCATGAAGTTTTATAGATCTGTTTTGCTTTTTTCTTTTCAAGGCCAGCCTGGTCTACATAGTGAGTTCCAGGACAGCTGGGGCTACAGGGAGACACTGTCTCAAAAAGACCGAAAAAAAAAAATTGTATAAAAAAAATAATAAGGTGGCGCACGCCTTTAATCCTAGCACTCAGGAGGGAGAGGCAGGCGGATCTCTGTGAGTTCAAGGCTAGCCTGGTCTACATAGTGAGTTCCAGGACAGCTGGGGCTACAGGGAGACACTGTCTCAAAAAGACCGAAAAAAAAAAATTGTATAAAAAAAATAATAAGGTGGCGCACGCCTTTAATCCTAGCACTAAATAAATAAATAAATAATAAATAAATGAATAAATAAATAAAACTTGTGTTGAGGCTGGAGAGATGGCTCAGCAGTTAAGAGCACTGGCTGCAGAAGACCTGGCTTCGAATCCCAGCACCCACATGGAGGCTAACAACCATCCATAACTCCAGTTCTAGGGACTCTGACACCCTCTTCTGTCCTCTGGGGGCATTGCACGACATGGGTGCACTTACACACATGCAGGCATAACCCTCATACACATCAAAAAGAAATAAATAAAAATTTAAAAAAACAGTCGTGTTAACATCTATGTTACACACTATTTTCAGTTATACAGTTTACAGGCATTAAATGCACTTACATTGGTCATGTAACCATCATTTCTGTCCATCTCCAGAACTTTATCTTCCCACTCTGAAACATCAGGCCTACTCAATAATAAATGCCCTTCTTCTGTTCTATCATCCCCTGGTACCAACTACAATTCTATTTTATGCTTAAGAATTTGGCAACTTCGGAGAAGTGAAGTTGTGATTCTTATCTATGTGTTGGACTGATTTCATTTTAGCATGGTCTTCAAGGTGCATTCATGTTGCAGTATAGAACTTCCTCCCTTTTAAAGACCAGATAGTTTACCTTTATACGTATATAGCAATGGGACAAAACTTTTTTTTCTCCCTTTTAGATTCAGGCCCTAAGAGAATATAAATTAAAATGAGAAAGGACATTAGCTGACAAAAGGAAAAGGTTTCCATAGGAAGAACAAGTAGGTTTGTTTAGGAAAGACAAGTGCATTTTTAGGGGGACAAATCTGAGATAAGGAAATTTGTGAAAGTGTTTATTTCTGCAGTGTGGTGGTAGGATGTTGCTTTATGGCAATACCTGAATCAAAACAGCCTGACCCTTAGCATCCTTTAGATTTCTTCTGGAACTATCCCAGACAAAGGCCTAGCTCTTTCTTTTTGAAACTGTACACCCAGCATAAAATGGTGAAGGAAAAGCGGGCCTTTAATTTATCAGAGGATTTTGCCCTTTCTGGCCCCTACTGCCTTGGAACAGCACACACAATCCAAATATGTTAGTATAGAATCCCACCTATTGCTTGCAACACAATGGGATAATTCTTGTTGTGAATAAGTACTGCTTGCAACTCTTTTAATAATCACCACACATACACACACACACACACACACACACACACACACACTCTGATCTTGGTCAGGGCAAGGAAGGGTCATGAGGGAGGGATTAAAGCTTTATGTTTAGGTTACAACAGGAGCCTAAGGCCTAGTAAGCTTGTTTTATATTAGAAGCAAATTGAGATAGTCTGGGTCTGACAGACATAATTTCACCTTTGTGTTATCAGATGGATCATACATTTATTTTTGAAGGAACACTATAGACTTTGTCAAAGCAACTGTGCAGTGCACAGTGCAGTTTCCAACTTCTCTACATTCTTGATAACACTTGTTTGCTAGAGTTTTTAAAAGTTATGTTTGTGGGGCAGGAGAGATGGCTCAGCAGTTAAGAACACTGACTGTTCTTGCAGAAGACCTGGGTTCGAATCCCAGCACCCACATGGGAGCTAACAACTGTCCGTAACTCCAGTTCCAGGGGATCCGACAGCCTCTTCTGTCTTCCATGGGCATTGCACAGTACAGGTACACTTACCTACATGCAGGCAATACATGGATATACATGAAATAAAAATAATAAGTAAGCCAGGTGTGGTGGCGCATGCCTTTAATCCCAGCACTTGGGAGGCAGAAGCAGGTGGATCTTTGTGAGTTTTAGGCCAGTCTAGTCTACATAGTGAGTTCCGGGAAAGCTGGGGCTACAGGGAGACCCTGTCTCAAAAAGACAAAAAAAATTAAAATATTAAGAAAAATAAAAAAATAAAAGGTGTATTTGTGTTTGTAAGTATGAAGTGAGCCTTATTATGATTTATGATTTTTTATTTTTTGAAATAGGCTCTCCCTGTAGCCACAGCTGGCCTGGAACTCACTATGTAGATTGGACTGGCCTTGACCTCACAGAGCTCTGCCTGCCTTTGCCTCCCAAGTTGTAGAATTAAAGGTGTGGACTTGTTTATCTCAGTGCATTAGTTACTGTTCATATTGCTATGATATAATACTGACAGAAACAATTCAAGGGGGTGAAAAGTTTGTTTTGGTTCATGGTTTCAGAGGGATCCATCTATTATGGCAAGGAAGACATGGTGGTAGGAAGGCTCAGTTCATGGTGGCCTGAGAGTGTGGTGAAAGCTTGTCCATGGCAGGAACAGGAAGCAGAGGACTGCTCCACAGTCCTCAAAATAGCACCACAAACTAGGGCTCAGGTACCTAAAACATGACCTGTAGGGCACATTTCAGATTTGAAACATAGCACTCTGGCTATCTGTGGATTCTAAATCCTGCTTCACCTGCTTCTGAGTGCAGAGCTGAGATTATAGACACATACCACCATACCCACCTCACTATGATTTTGATTTGCATTTCCCTAATGATTAGTGCCCTTAAACATCTTTAAATGTGCTTATTGACCCTCTTTGAATATCATGTGGAGAAATGTACATTTCAATAATTTGCCCATTTTAAATATATATTTTTATAATTTTTTTGTGTATGAGTATATTGCCTGCTTGTGTGTAAGTGTGCCCATGTCATGCAATGCCCACAGAGGTCAGAAGAAGGCATTGGATCCCCTGGAACTGGAGTTATAGATGCTTGTTAGCTGCCATGTACATGCTGGGAATTGAACCCAGGTCCTCTGCAAGAGCAGTCTATGCTTTTAACTGCTGAGCCATCTCTCTAACACCCTAATTTGCTCATTTTTTTAAAATGTCTTTTTTTTTTTTTGCTTCAGGATTTTTAACCTGAGAATGATAGTGTGTTCTTGGTTTGGTTTGGTTTTTTAATTTGGTGATTCTTTCTCTTGCTCATCACTGTTGAAACAATCAGCACCGGTGGTTTCCTTTTATGTGCTTGCTGCCTGCCGTCTCCTTGCTTTCTTCTATAAGAAGTCTTGCTGTTTTATTCTAGTCAGCCAGGTAGTTATAGCTCATTTCTCACTCTTGTGTAGTATTTGGGTTGAATTTTGTATTGTTAGGCTCTATTAGTTATCCAATATAAATCTATATTCATAATTTGTTTGGAAAAAGCTGAACTGGTTTTTTATTTTGGTCTTTTTGAGAGAGGGTCTCCTTGTAACCTCAGCTGTCCTGGACCTCACTATGTAGACCAAGCTGGCCTTGAACTCCCAGAGATCCACCTGCCTCTGCCTCCTGACTGTTTTTATTTTTAACAACCAAAATTTGATGTACACTTGTAATCCTAGCACTCAGGAGTTGTTGTCAGGAGGCTCACAAAGGAGCATTACAGCCTGAGCTACACAGTAAGTTCCAGGTCAACCTTGGTTATAGAACTAGACCCTGAATCAGAACAACAATAACAAACAAATAAAAAAATGCTATTGACTTTCTATTAATTAAAATATATCTATATGGTGACTATATAATTTAACATATGCAGCCGGGCATGGTGGTGCATGCCTTTAATCCCAGCAGAGACAGGCGGATCTCTGTGAGTTCAAGGCCAGCCTGCTCTACATAGTAAGTTCCAGGACAGCTGGGGTACAGGGAGACCCTGTCTCAAAAAGACCAAAAAATAAATAAATAAATAATTTAATGTATGCTTAGCTTATGGAAATTTATGACAATTTATGTTCTAGATCTAACTCTGTATGGACTCCTGTAACAAAAATGCCATTCACCAGGTAGTTTATCAATAACATAAATTTATTTCTTGCACTTTCGGAGGCCTAAAGTCCAAGGTCGGGGTTATCAGTAGTTTCAGTATTTAGGAAGGGCCTGATTTTTGGTTCATAAAGGGAACCTTCTGAATGGGAAAGGGGCTCTTTCAAGTCACTGATCTCCTTCATAAAGGCTACACTAGCATGACCTGGTCACCTCACAGAAGCCTGCCTCCTAAGACCTTCACTAGGACAGACAAATTCCGTTTCTACTCTGGTAGAGCCCTGCAGTTAAATTGCATTAAGATTTGATTAACAAGAAAAGCATCCACATTTACTTCACAGATTTTATGTGGGAGACTTCAAAAAGAAAGACCCAAAGAAGTGAGGAGAGTCAGTTACTTAGGTACTGAATTGGCAAAGAATACTAAGTTGTAAAAATGTTACTAAATTTTAGTAAGAGGTTTAAAAGGTGAGTTGCTCTAAGGAGGCCTATGAGGTCACAATTCTCATCCTTAAAGATGAAGTTGTTGCTTTTCCTTTTCCTACAGAGAGAATGCTTTTCACCAGGAAATTTCAATTTTTATCCTTTTTT